CCCCCGAGGGACCCGGTCGAAAGCCTTCTCCAAGTCCACAAAGCACATGTAGACTGGTTGGGCAAACTCCCAGAACCCCTCCAGTAGTCTTGCGAGGGTAAAGAGCTGGTCCACTGTTCCACGGCCGGGACGGAATCCGCACTGCTCCTCTTGAATCTGAGGTTCGACAAGCGGTCGGAGGTTACCAAGGAATTTACTTTTAATTGTTACTTAGATTGACATTATTTAATTTTAACTAATTGTATTTATGTCGTTGGCTACAGAGTTTTTAATTTAAAGGAGGCAATTTACCATACAATTCATTTATTATGCAAAAAAAAGACCAAAACAGCAGCTAATATCAGCTTCTCATATGTGAGAATTTGCTGCTTTTCTCAATTTTAGACCATTTTAACCATGTTTGGTTAAAAAAGCAATTTTCAGCAACTTAAGCACAATTTTACTGGAATTGCATAGACTAAATGAATAAGTTCGTAGCAACCCTAGTTTGCGCTGCTATTTTAAACATATATTTTTTACAATGGCCAATGTCTGTGATTTGAAAATACCTGTAATATAGATTATAAAGGCATATGTCACTGACACTGGGGTCGTCTTCTTTACCCTGAAAGAGGCAGCATGTCTGCTTAAATGAATAAACTAGCTGCACTGGAGTTATGAGTGCGTGACTTCTCTTTGTCTATAATTCTCTGGCGGCGTCCAGCAGTGCAGTACATTATGAAAGTAATTCTGAAAATATTAAAAGTGTTTGGCCTGAATTAGAAGCAGCTGACTCATTTAGGCAATACCTAGCACTGACATTCCTGGCTCCAGCGTGCAGCAGAAATTTCATTACGTCTTTGACAAATCTCAGGACTAATATTCGTAGAGGTAATATTAATCACTCCCTCTTTGTTCATATCATGAGCAAACACAAGGAGAGAGAAAAGCTTGGCCAACTGTACCGACAGATTTAATGTTACTCTCTTATCCATTTAAGATTCACATCATTCTTTTTAATATAATATTCAACTCAGGAACACAAATAGTGAATAAAAACATTGTGTAGGTCAGTTGCTTCTCAAAGGGAGGAAGTGTGTTTGTTATTGGAGCAATGTCCACGGAAGCTCAGCAGAACAAATCCCATTTCTCTGAGCCGGATCCTGTCTTTTTCTTATTGATCACTGAATCATTACACATAAATCACACCGCTACAGTCCTTGTCATGTCAATATATTAAGTCACATTTAATGACCCCGTTCATAAAGGTGATGGGTACTGTGCAAACTCCAGATGTAACAACATGGTCTGTACACTTCTCTGTAAAGACCACGTTGCCCGAATCGTATTAAAACAAGGGTCTGTAGTGTCTTTGTCCCAGAGGACAAACCCAGTATCTGCAACATTTCGTATCTCACAGCAATATTAAACACAACTGTCATGTTTTGTTTTGCTGTCCACTGTCCAAATGGATGGAAGCAGTAGCTGAAAGGGGACACCTCACAGCACGCTCTTCCTCTCCTGATTGAAGTTTCTGTGGAGGGGTGACTTCCATCCAGGTGTTTTGAATTTCAAATTAAGTGTTAAAAAAAAAAGAAGCAAGACTGCTCTTTTTTTTTTTGTGCAAACCAGAGTAAAGGTCACATATTCTCCCTCTGTCCTGGCTTTCCTTAGTCCTGACTGACCACGAGCCACCCCCATCCGTCTCCAGAAGTGCAGTCCCACTGATCACTGCGGTGGTGATGATGAGAAGGCTTTGAGGAGCAGGTCAGCAGCCAGGCCCGGGGAGATGGCTCCTTTGGTGACCCTCTCCTCGAGGTGAGGTAGAGCCTCTCTGACACTGGGGTGATTCTGGAAATGGCAGAGGGCGTTCTCCTGGATCAGACTCCACATCCACACCTTCTGCTGGGCCCTCCTCCGGCCCCGCAGTTCACCGCAGGCCAACATGGCGTCCCGGTACGACTCCATCTTCGCCCAGACCTCTGGGATGCCCTCAATGGTGAGCGAGGAGGCGCGCACCACCTGGAGAGGAAGTTATGGGGGTAGGGGGGTTCGGGATGCATGTGTGAATTTAGAAGGGTCTCTTTTTCAACGACCAGGTGGTAGTCTGGACAATTCCACTGTTCAGCCTGAGGGTATCACCATAGGCACAGCAAACTGCCGTCCATTCTCTACTTGGTATGGGGAGTTGGAAAGGTGATGTGGACTTGTGCCTTGTGTTTGAGATTCTGTATGGAAGTACACGTCTCATGGACAGAAGCCCCAGGAAAAGCTGCCAGAGGCGACTGTATTGTGCAGATGCTGCAAAATTGGACAATCAGCCTCTTCTATGAGAGCAGCAATCCTCTGGAATACTCTACCTATACAATCCACTGTGCACAGCAGTTTTATAAGCAAACTTAAAACAAAGGTTAAAATTGTCCTGACACCCAAATGGTTAAATATAGAACTACAATGTCCCGCCTTTAACTACAGCCGAGGATCCTCGTCGCATGTCGTACCCTCTTCTTTCTCCCCTTGTTTCCCGTCTGTCTCTGTACTGACAACTGTCCCAAAAACATTAAACTTTTAATTCAAAATTGTCTGTAGGTAACTGAATTTCCTCTTATTTCTTCATGCAAAGTCACATTATATAGTGTTTTTTTTATTATATTTGGCAGTTCTTATTCATGTTGGGGCTACGAGAGCAACCCCGACACATTATATAGATTTTTTAAATGTCAGTGTCGATTAATGTGCATTTGGATAAGCAGTCAAACAATAAGGGAAGTCCTGGATGACAATAAAAACAACCATTAAAAGAAATACTGCTCTACACTGCGACACAAAACACTTCGGGTTTCTTTTGACAAAGATATAGTTTAAGGGTGCATAAGCTTTGTTTTTTAGGATAAAGGAACTTTTTGAATATAGATAATTGCACTTGAGTTTGGAGCGTTGATGCTTTTTCCGTTCTGTTGAAGATTATTTTAGCAATGCACCTTCCACCTGGAAGAAGCCGTCATGTCCCTTTACAAAGTGTGAGTATTCGTCTCTGTATAAAACCTCGCTCACACAAGCAATCTGGTGATAAATGTCACTCGTGTGCTTTGTTCTTGTGACCGCGTGTCTCTTTTCAGAGCTCGCTGCCGATTCAACAGCACATGATGAAACTCAGCGTAATGTTCAAATTCAACTGAGAAGACAAAGAGCCTCAGATTTAGGAATACAAAAGAAGTCAGGCCATTCATTCGGATGTGAAGGACCCATGAAAGTGCTTCTATAAAAGTGAACCTTCTGTTTTTTTATCACTTAATTAAACACCTGTGAATAAAAATGAGAAAAAGGGAGTTTGGAGGAGGAGAGACGAGAGTCGACCTCAGTGTCGATGTCAAACAAATCCACAGATACTCCACCACCTCCAGGCTGCTGAAGTGTGAAGACATTACATGTGTCACTTGGAGGTAATTGATATCAACTGGTGTTCGACAAAGTTGAATGTGACAGCTGATAAATATTGGCGGCTCGTGATCAACAGCCAATTAAGAATCCTCTAATTACATCATTAAGTTCATCATTTTACAAGCACTTCATTCGAGTCTGATGCAAACACAGGAAATCAAACCTAGTGAAATGAAATGTAATGCTCATTTGCTAATTATCATTTTAAAGGACTCGTTCAAAAAGAAAAGAAAACCACATGTGACCTTATACGGCCCCACTGATGTCTTATTCTTATCTACGTTTGAAGATGTTGCATCTGTCCCAGTAAAATGGATTAAATTGAATTTAGATTGTTGTGCTAACAGCTATGAAAATTTTGATTATTTTCAAGAAACAAATGTTCCTTTTCCTCTGCATAATCTCCTGACCTCATGAACTACTTTCTACTGATCAGTTTAAGGGAGAAAATACTTGTTCTTGAAACAACTGACCCCATGAAGGGCGACTCCAGCTATTTAGTTGTGAGCTTTTCTAAAGACTAGCAAGAGACACATTCAGCTCCCAAAGCACCAGTTTCTCGACATCCCACAGTCCAACTCATAATTAATAATAGTATTTCTACATCTTTCTGACATTTTATGGAACAAACAATGATCGCAATCAAAAATAATAGTTAGTTGCAGCCCTAATTGTTAGTTAAAATAGTTTTATTACCAAGAACTTAGAAATCAAAGCAGCATTGATGTCGTTGCCATTCATATGTCACGTTTTCATGCTGAGTGCGGTGGACAACAGAGGGCAGACTGGTGAAGAGGAGAAACGGCGAGAGACTAAATCATAGATTATGCTACTGTAGGCCAAAAAAGACAGACACAAAAGAGGGCAAGACAGCAAAAAGTCAGGCTAAATACAGAGAGCAGACTACGAGGAGAAGCCTCTCAGCTTTTATGTTGAGTGCGCAGGCTTCTAATCAGCGAAATGCATGAGACAGCAGCCCAGCAGGAGGAGCAGGAAGAGCAGGGGCTGGGGGTGAGGAGAGAGGGGGGGGGTTCCTGGCAGCTTGCCCAGTGGGCAGATGCTGCATTGGGCTGGGAAAACAAAAGGACAAGGCCAGGCTGGCAGGCAGGCGGGCGGGTGAGCTGGGACATGCAGGGAGGGGTGGGACACTGCAGTACTGAAACCATGAAGCCATGACATCATCACTATCACCATCATCATCCTACCGCCCCATCCTGGGTCAACTGACCTCTCAGTGGGATGGCTTGTTGGCTACACAGAGCAGCACTACTGCTGCTGCCGCCCAGTAACTCAAATGTTGAACACTTGTCAATTATCCTTCTCTATTTCTTAAAATGCCTCTTCATTCTGTTGTTGGCTCCCTTCCTCACTGCACTACCCCCCCCCCCCCACACACACACACACACACACACACACACACACATTCCCTTACACACACCTTAGGGTTCCAGGACTTGGACTGCCTCCTTAGCAGCTTGAGTGCACTGGTGTATTCCGCCTGGATCCTCCTGGCTGGCACCAGCAGGTCTCCATCCGCTTTCGTCACCACCACCAAGTCGGCCCTCTCAATGATGCCTCTCTTGATACCCTGGACAGAGAATTTGGCATTAAATGGGGGGGGGTGGGTGGTCATTACCTTCTCAAAACACTGTAAATAAATCTGATGTCTAGACACCTAATCTGCTGAGGGATCTCTGTACAGAGTGATGGATGGAGCTGTGGTCGGCTGCCAGTTTACTAATTTATTGCTCCGATATTGTTGCTCTCTATCGATCCCTCACTGCTGTCAGCTTCTGGGTAATTTAAAGCGAGGAGCGCAGTTGAGCTTATTTGAAGCCGTTACTCTAAGAAGTGCCCTTCACCTGTTGAAACCACAGGTTGAAATGTCCTTTCAGTTCAGGTCTTTGTATTCAGCTGGTGACTCAAGACTAGAGCAGATGTAGAGAAAGTCTGCAGCTGTCAATGTCGTCTGGGCTTCATAAGTTATTTTGCTCTGCTGGAGTCATGTAATGCGTCGTAAAATCTATATGTCACATGGTTTAGTGGCACTTTCGCAATTTATAGTTTAAACAAGTCAAACTGTGCTCTTGAGAATACTCTACTTACAATCTGAATACCATACGTTTACTGTATAGATGTTAGTTTGATGACTTTTAATTTACATAAAAAATGCTTACTGTCCCACAATAATCACCATAATATTAATCCTAATGAGTTAGACTATTCAAGTCATTCATTTAGCTAATTAATAAGTTGATTAGCATGCAGTTTTTGTCAACATATTCATCTTTACATACAAATGAGGATGCAAAAGTCAGTTTCTATATGTATTTATGCAAGAAGGTAATTCACAATGTAGATTAGATAATCTATTTCCTCCATCCGGAATCTGTGTTGTAAAAGTAATGAGGCTGAAATAAAAAAGTATGTTCACTTTTTACTCAAAAGGTGTGCGCGCACATATTAAACAAACTTATCTGAAGTTTATTGAATGACAAAAGTAAAGAATAATATTCAGTAAATTGTTTTCATGCCACTACCAGACCAACTTTATAACATGAACATGATTCAACCTGGAACATCTTCTATTCTCTTTCTTCCGGCTCAGTTGAAACAACATTGGACACTGATGGGTTTGCTGCTGCTCATGTTTTTCACTGACCTGGAGTTCATCGCCCCCTGCTGGCGGAATCAGCAGCACAAACATGTCAACCATGTCAGCCACTGCGAACTCTGACTGGCCCACACCTACAAACAAAAAGACAGATTTAAGTGTCGCCACAGATCAGCAATGTGACAAAATACAACGCTTGCCCTCACAGCAAATCAGACAAGAACAATAAGTAAATCAATGAAAACTAAATCCATAATAAAGAGCCCTGAGTTGAACGTTGCATCCTACAGTTTCATGTATTAACAGGAGAAAAATAAAAGCAATTTACCGTATAAAAAAAAAAAGAATGAAAAGAAAGTCTTGGTCAGGACTTGTTCAGAGGTTCAAAAATGCTTTTGAATAATCATGAACTTCCATAAACTTCATGTTCATCACACTGAATAGATTGTCAGAAAATGACAATTCCTATTTTTGTATTAAAAAAGGTGTATATAACAGCAAAAAACAACTTACCTACGGTCTCTACAAGGACAATGTCGTATCCCGCTCCCTCACAGAGAACAATGGCCTCATTAGTTGTTCTGGTGACTCCACCGAGTGTTCCTGAGGCCGGAGATGGCCTGATAAAAGCGTCCATGTCCCTGGAGAGTTCAGTCATACGAGTCTTATCACCCATCAGAGACCCTGCAACGAGAAGGATGAGTCAGGTTGTGTCATGAATTTAACATTCATGAGAGTAAAAGTGCTGCTGTAGCCTAATTAAGGCATCAAAACATACATCAAAAGTGTTCATCTTGACACATTACCTTACAATTTCACAAATAAATGTAATGTGCATTGTAAAGCACCCAAAAGCTTCACCAGAATCCTATACATGACGACGATGATGCTGTGTATACCTCCTGTAGTGCAGGAGGACGGGTCAACGGCCAGCACTGACACCTTATGTCCCCGTCCTGTTAACATCTTCCCCACCACCTCGATGAAGGTCGACTTCCCTGCTCCTGGAGGACCGGACAGACCTGAGAAATGAAAGCAATCCAATCAGCAACAACTGGCACCAAGGACGGGGTTTTCTCACTTAATACTTTGTAGAGACAACCGGTTTGTGTTGTGGAACATGAGGAACACTATATTTTGATAAGAAAACTTTTAAATGGGAATTTAAATTGGGGACAAATTCATTCACGACCAGCAACTCCTCCCAACAGCCTATATTGCTGTGGCCCTGTGTCAAACCCTTTTCTAAAGACATTAATCATTTAGCTTATATTGTGCTCACAGGTGTGCAATCCTAAATATAGTGTATTCATCAAATTACCACAAAGTAGGCCTAGGGCCATGTATAGTGTGCGTTACTGTACTTGATAGGACCTTGGAGGAGACGTGGTCTACACATACACTCAGTGGCCACTTCATTTGGTACACTTGTAAAATCTGATGCAATCCAATAAACAGCTCAGCCATAAACTCCACCTTTAAAAAGATGTTTAGTTTTGATTGACAGGGACAGAGAGGTATCACGTTAACTACAGCATTAGAGTTTATTACTGAGGGAGTAGTTTGCATTAAACTGAAAGGTGTTTCTAATGTTTTACCCCCCCTATGTATAAACATGAGGCGGGAAGAATATTAGAAACTTGTTTCAATATAATGTAGTCCAGTACAAGTTTAAAAAAAACTACTAATAAGTACAACCTCAATAATAAACATATATCAGACAGTGTAAACACAAACATTATAGTCTTACTAAATGCAGAATATGTGGCAGATCTGTTGTATTGGTGTACCTAGTGGTCAGGGTGTGTATAGTGTCGTTCAGTTCCCTTGGTGGTGTCTTCACAAAAAGCCCAGCTGAAAACAAACCACTTAAACACAGATCACACACCCACTCGGAAAGCCACTGGCTTCCCTCCATTACGGCTCTCCTGCTCCTTCCTGTAGGCCAGCACCCTCTGCAGCAGCACCTGGGCCAGCTCCTTTTTCCTGGGATGCTGGGTCTCCACCAGAGTGATGGACTCAGCCAGAGACGCCCGCTGTCCTCCGATCAGCCCTTCATACAGTTTGTCCAACAGTCTCTGCTCAGGCCCGCTCAGGTCCTGTATGTGCGACCCGAGGGCTGTGCTCACATCCCTCTTGTGCTGGCAGCTGGGACCAGGGATGGTGCTCTGGTAACAAGTGTGGGAACCAGTGAAGACCCTTTGGCGGAGGCAGCATGTCCTGGTGCCCGAGGGGACAGTGAATGAGGAGGGAAGAGAAGAGATGTGGGGGAGGAGGGAGAAGCCAAACCGTCGCATTTTATGGTAAATGTGGGGCATCTAGGAGGAGAGACGATATGAAAAACTACGAGTCAGTGGTGGTTTTTACATTACATTACATTACAGTCATTTAGCAGACGCTTTCATCCAAAGCGACTTACAATAAGTGTATTCAACATTGTTTTTCAAGAGAACTACTAGTCACCAGAAGTCATAAGTGCGTCTCCTTTTTTCAAACAAGCATCTAAGAGCATAAACCAGAGTCAGTGCAGAAACAAACGAATGCAATAAGTGCCAAAAACTAATATGAATACAGTAAGTGCAAGGGCTATTTTGCAAGAGCTATTTTTCAGCGTATTAACTATAATGTTTTATTATTTAAATAACAAAATGACGGAACCCTATTCTATCCCATATACAATTTGCGGTGACGTAACTTCCAGACAGCAACACAAGTTGCAGTTTTAAGGTATTTTCCGTTGGACTTTAAGCTAACATTATGTGAACGGGACGTTTCCCCCGCCCTGCGAGCGTAAACACAGTCGTTACAAAAACAGCTAATTAAAACACTTGTTGAAAAAAACAAAATTGTTTTAAATGAGAATTCAGGCTGACCTCGTCCCAGCTGCATGGAGGTGTGTTACAGGTTACATATCAACGGTCCACTCATCCTCTTCCTGTTTCCGGTGACGTAGGGCACCGCTTCCGACACACGTTTCCCTCGATTCATTGACGCAATGAAAAATATCTTTAAACTCTATGATTGAACACATCTATAGAGAGTATTTTGAACGATGTTTGTCGAAAAAAATATATGTAAACGCTATGAGTCGTTTATGTAAAGTATTAAGTAAACATTAAACTCCAATGACAGTGGATACATTTAGCCAGTAGGTGGTAGCAGAGGTTAATTTTCCCTAAATATGTAGCAATATCTTGTGACCCCCAGATTTATTTATAACCAGGCACCTCTAAAATGTTAAAGGACTGTGTATCACTGTGGGCTGCAGAGTGTTTTGGACAATTTCTCTTAACATTAATGATAATAATGTGGAGATGTGGAGTGGAAAAATGCTCCATTTTAAATATTTACATCCCAATAAGAATCATAAAGGCAAATCAGACTTTAGACCAGAGGGTTATCTCGTTTGTAATTCATTACACTCAATATTAGCAGCTTTATGCAGACTGGACTCAATAGAAAGAAAACAAAGTAAAGAAGTACACTCAGCAAGTTTACAGACACGTTATCATACTCAAAGTTCTTCACTTTATGTGTTGCGTTTAACGTTCACCTAAACTTGAGGATAGTTTTAGTCTACATTTTAATTATTAATATTCACTAAACATGTGCAGCACACACAAGACTATGGGATTTACATGTCCATTTATATTGGGATACAATTTACTAACACAACCTGATCTTCGTAGACTTGTTTAGTCAGCATTTCCACTGCAGCTGAACAACACACTTGTCCATACAATAAGTGTTTTGTCATAAAGGAAGCTCTGGATGTACTGCTGGAACTTTGAGTCTCTGCCAAAAGAGTAAATAAATAATTGTTAAAATAATTAAGTTAGGAAGAAAAAACAAAACAAAAACTCTTAATAAATTAGTGATTTTCTATGTATAAAGAGGTGTAAAATACTGAATGTCGCTCATTCACACAATAGCAAACATTACTTTCTCTTAACATGATAAATTAGTTTATATTTGATCACTTTATTTCTCAGTCAGAAGCTCATACTCACCTCCAGCTCAGGTGATTTCAGGCATTTCTAAATAAGTGCATATTGCATGGATAATCAGTACGTAGCTAGTTTAAGCAATCTCATAGTGGCACATTGTTTCCTTTGTCTTTATATTACAATTTATTTTAGAAACAATGAATGAAACCACAAATTACGATGGGAAATGGATCCATTAAAATCAATTTTAAAGGACCATAGTGCAAGACAAATCTGCATATTTCCAGAAAAATGCAATGAGACCTATCTTTGTGTGTTTCAAGTTTGGATTGAAAGAAGGGAGACACCTCTGGATTACTAGACCATCACAGGACTGCAATATGCAGGGTATACGAACACATAGACATTCAGAGTCTCTAGTCCACCTGACGTGCCTCTCTGTGGAATTTGGGAGAAACATGCAAAGTCTTGGGAGGCAACAGCACTAACCACTGTGCAACCATAACACCCACGTCATGTACAGTCAGATGGAACTCCTGCACGCACAAACACACACACACACACACACACATTTAAGTCAGTGATTTCCAGGGTAGCTTCCTGGAAAATTGTTGTAAGTGTTCTAGGATTGTCACAATGTGCCCCATAAAACAAAAGGGGAACACATCATTTCATGCATTTTCCTGCAATTTACTGGAAAATGCAATCATGCTTAACATTAGAGCAGTTGGCTTTCAGATGCACTTGTAATTGTTGTGCATCCCTAATTGACGTTCTACGTCCATATGCACACACGCACACACACACACACACGCACACACACACACACACAAAGTGGTTGACGTTTTCAAAAGTCCCTGACAATACCATGATGCATATTTTCTTTGCATGGGTGGCTTGTAATTAAATAGACAGGGCACAAAAAAAACACATGCCCTGACACAGCGTTCATAAAAGAGACAGACATATTGGAAGTATTGAAACAAATTTATTGAATCTTCCAGTAGAGGCTTGATATTCATGGAATAAAACTGCTTTTCTGGGAGTTTTACTGAGCAAAAACACAAAGAAGGAGAAAAACTAAAACAAAACAAAGAGGCAATGTGTGAAAGTGCAGACAGACAACAGAAAACATGTTCGAAAAATACAAAAAGAATGTAAAGAGTAATACAGTTCAACAGCAAAGAGGATTGCTCAAAGCATAAAATAACTGAATGGCAAAAATCTGCATTTAATAAAAAAGAAAAATCATATTAGGACATCTGTAACTGATACCCTTTTCTCAGTCAACAATTAAAATTTGAATGCTCAACATTTTCCCATAACAGTCATCTAACATGTTTTGCTCAGTTGATGTAAAAAGAGAATGGGGAGTCACTGAAATATTTATGTCCTCAATGTGACTCCGTATTTGACACATTTGATTTCGCTGCAGAGTATACAGCAATGGACAAACTAAAATGCACTTGTATTTGCCTCTGCTTCATGATCTGTGTTCAGCTACCAGTCTTAAATGTGTAACACTACACTAACCAAACTATGCTTTGCAAAAACCAGACTGCACAGCACATATTCTAATAGTGAATATATCTAAACACTATTCTTTTTTCTTAAAATTCATTTGAAACACGAGTGTAACACAAGATGAGCAACATTTAAACATTAGTTGTTTTTTTTCGGAATAGTCTGAAATGCCCTTTTAAGTGCCATGCCCCACACTAAACCCCACTCTTAACTCTCAAACTTGCCCTCTGACTATTTGTCATGATCTCTGATATGGGATTTTATTTATACAACAACTTTGTACTGCTCCAGTATCTGGAGATGATTACAATTTTTCAGTCATACTGGTCAAGTCCCTGCTAGCTTTTTACATGTCGTAAGTACATTTCATGCCAACCTCATTGCAGTCAGGCAGCAGACAGCAGCCGACTGCAATTTTGGTGGAATGTCCCATAATTATTGTAACTACACAAGTATATCTGGATTTCAGAGGGAATATTTATATGAAAACTAGTAATGAGTCAGAATAATAGAACAATGAAAAAGAGACATTGTTGGAGCAAGATCAGGGAGGATACTTGCGTCATGATGAGTATGATGGTCTGATTATTACAGTTGGTCACAAAGATCAAGTATCTTCCAGTTGCATCACGCTCACTTTGCTTACTCCTCTCCCAGACTGTAAATGTGCCCAATTCAGACATCCTTCAAGTAGAGAACAAACCAATTTTAACAACTCGCCCAGCCCTACTTGTCCCAGATCAGCTTGTGTTTCAGTCAAAATGTCAATCAGTTATCGGAAAAGGCAGGCTGGCTGAACCACAAGCCGATCTGTGACCCTATTCTTGCTACTTAGACCAAAATGCTGGGCTATGGACAGCCACGGGGCTGAGGACAGTGAAGCCTAGGAGACGGAGGATATAGGGTTGTGCGGGGAGCCCATCTGGGTTAGCACCTTATCCAACCACTGCAAGGGACCATGCAGGTGGATCTCAATCCAGCAGGGTGTGCTGGTCACATCCTGGCGGTGGTACTCTGCTCCCCAACCCTGCAACACATGAAAACACATCATTTAGAATTTATGCCACACCACTGTACAAGTTCTTGTTCTACTTGCTCCGAATTTTAGACTGTCGAGTGCTAGTGTTGTGTTCTGCTTGACTACAAGTTAATATTTTACATCAGGACGTCCCATGGTAACGGTGATATTTATACCCAATTTAAAAAAAAGGCTATTTGAATATCTGATCTATTTTTTCTGATGTGATCTTTGTTTGTATTGATTTTCACTTACAACAAAACTACAAGAAAAGATGAAAACAGTTTTTATCTTTTCATCTAACTAACATAGTTAAAAAGGTGCATCAAGTAATAGAAAGTGAGGAGAAAACACAAATGAACAACTTATTCCATTGTGCACCAAAAAACAATACTTTAACTGCAGTGCAAATGTAATTTAAAATTCAGATTTTTTTAAATCCAATGTTCACCTAATTAAACATTTATAAATTCCCAGATTTCTTTAAAAAAATAAATAAAAAATAAACATGATGATACTAAGTATTAACAGTGACTCAATTGTAAAAGGTAAGTCAGTCTATACTGTAGGAAGGTGAACATTAGCATTAGACAATCCAAAAATGTCATATTGCTGAATCTGATCAGCTCACCTTAACGAAACTCATGCGGATGGTGCACATCTTTGTGAGCTCATAAACAGCCTCGAAGCCGTGGTTGACGGACTGGGCCAGCAGCTCAGCAAACTCCTGGTTGTTGAAAATCTTCAGGCTGCAGCCGCTGGGAATCTTACACACAGTCGTGGGATGGAAGCCGTGGTGGTAGTTACAGTTACGACTCTGAACGAAGATACTGCTATCACTCAGACATTCTGCGTACACCTCCCCACCAACATAATACAGATGGACACCTGAGAGGAAGCAGGAGAGAATTAAATGTTGGTCACCGGGAGAAGCAGACCTGTCGTGTCACTTTCATCAGCAAAAACGTATCTTAAAACCAATACACTAAAATGTTTACTCAATTTGTTGTAATTGTTCCTATTGACAACATTAATTGATTTAGTCCCGTCTGCTGACAGTCCGTGCATTGCAGTCATTGACCGGCTCTCCGTACTGCACCTTTGCCGATGTGCCGCCGGGTGTTCTCAATGGTGGAGTTGCGGTTGACGTTGGAGAGCAGGCCGAGGCAAAATCGGTTGCGGTTGTTGGAGGGATCTGTGAAGCCATCGACGAGCACGCTGGTGGAGGACGCCTGGAACGCCTCTCCGACACGATTATTGAGCTCGTAGTAAACAATAGAGCACCAGTGCTTGGGTTCCTCATAGGCCACGGGCTGCACATCTGCACAGGAAACACATTAACAGGTCAAAAGGGTGAGCTGAGTACACTGAACACGCAGAGACAGACGCAGACACATTTAATGCACATTTAAGACTCCTCAGAGCAGACTCCTGTACAGACAAGCTGCCAGGAGCCACTGATGCCAGCTGTAAATCTTACTCATCCGCACAATTATTTCTGGCAAATTGTCCCCAATAGCCCATTAATGATGATTACAATAAATATATAGGACCCACTGGCTACATTTGTATACATTTATGCTGACCAAAATCAATGCAGATGCATCCTAAAGTATGCCTACTGTCTGAGGTCTGTGTGCCAGCCTTTATTGAGCAGAAAAACAGTCAATAGACGGTGCCTGGCCATGCTCTCTGAGCCAGTGCCAGCTGGCCTCACCCACTCTGAGAGAGAGGAATAAATCATGTTTATCTAAGCACATACTTCTCCTAAACTTCCTGTAGCATGGCACTGGCTAGCAGGTGTGTTTTGTCTGTCCCCTTCCCAGAACTGGCCCACAATAGAACCCTGCTGCCCTGTTCAGGATGCAGCTTGTGGAAAACCAAATTCCCACTTTCAGCAAACATTTGAACAGCTCTTCCCACGACTGCTGTCACCATGTGTGGGCAGAGTTTCTGGGCCTTGAGTGCATGATCATAAAAACAGTACAAATATATTGTTGGTCATGTGTGGAAAACTAAAGTTCATAGTTCAGCAGTTATTCCAATGTGTGGCGGGTCAAATTGTATTTCACCTGCATAGTGTGTTAGTGCAGTAATTAAAAATGTAACCATTAAAGAGAAGGATTGGTTTATTAAGACAACTTCCTTCTCTTTACAGGCGTCAGTAGCCTCTCACCTTTCACTCATTCGGTCATTCGGTCAGCAAGAGAAACAGCTCTCAATCAGATATTCAGCTGCTAGTTAAACAAAAAAAAACAATTGTCGTGGCAGGTTGTGTGGGAATAAAAAAAGCTGCCGCTGTTTTGTCTTTACACGTAGAGCATCCTGTTCAACTATCGGGCTTTGCTTTTATTATCTTATGTGAGATGAGGACAAAAATCAAACTTCAAGGATTGCCTTGTAATTAAAACAAAAAATGGCTACAAAATGTGCAATAATCACATCAAAATAATTACGGCGATAGTCCATAAAAGCAATTTGCTCATATGTAGGCTCATACACAAATGAATGAATAAATATACTGTAGTCTATGACAACATATAGGCCTAAAATAAATTACCTGGCTTTGTTGAGACTGTCTGTCTCCTCCGCTGCGTTTCAGCACCCGGGACAGCACACACACACACATGCACATGCGCGCATACACACACACACGCACGCACGCACACACACACGCACACACGCACACACACACACACACACACACACACACACACATGCACCCTCTACACACAACAAACAGTGCTATCCATCTGAGAATAACTAAGAATTAAAGTTGATGCAAAATGAATAATGCAGGATAACTAGTCCTTCTTTTACGGGCTATTTGAGATGTTTGGGGTAATGCATATACATTAATTTAAACAAAAACAAAACTGATTTAGACGTCGAAGCTTCAAATTCGGGTCAGCCTTAGGAATCACCCTTTAAATGGGATGGCTCTGGACTCTGTGACTATTACGTATTCATGAATGCACGGTTCACATGTGTCTCCAGCACAATGAAGCCAAAACCACATAGTCGAGAGAGCAGCAATTATTGCACCACATTTCGGATCCGAAAGTTGCAGGTAATTAGTGAATCTTATTGGTAACGAGTTTCAAGCCATTACCACCAGCAGAGATGCCTAGCTTTTAAAGACCTCGTAAAAACTGCTCTGAGGCCTGTCTTAATTTGTTGAGGCTTTGAGCTTCCCATGAGCTCGCACCCACAGACAGAACCTCGCTGTCAGCTAGCAGATCCTTTCCACCAACTGTTCAGGTTTTATCTGACAGGATATGGCATACAAACTCATCCGAGGTTTTCCTTACTTTTTTGCATTTGGAGGTTGACCACAAGACAGAAAAAATAAAACTTAAAGAAAAAATTTCCCAGAACTCTTTGCACTTGCAGATCAAGGGAAGCAGGTGCAGACAGCTTCATGTGGATGATATCACTGTGAACACAAGGACAGTTGTGTGAGATAGCGACTGCCATGGTTACCTGGCCGGTTGTTACTCTCTAATGGCAAAGCTGGAACCAGGAGGTTGGTGTCCATTGGCTGGGGACAATCCTGAGTCATCTGCTCCTCTGGGGGCATGTAGGCAGGAGGGGGTGTCTCTGCATCAGGAAGGAGGCAAAAACAAAGAGCAGTGATGTGAGTTGTTGTCCGGCACTGAGGAAGAGTGGAAGACAAGTTCAGTGTTGAATCTCACCTGGCATTTGGAATGGACTGCTGGGGTCAGAGCTGGATGGTGACTGAGGGAAGGTGGCGCTGCTGCTGCCACTTCCCGGCGAGTTTGGGTAGCTGTTTACCGGTGAAGTGGGGAAAGCGGGGGGCATTGTGTTGGCCTGAGTGAAGGATTCTGGGAAGGTGGCATTCTGCGGCATGTGCGGCTCGTTCTGTTGTAGAGGGTTGCGGAAGCGAGGCAACATTGTATGCTTGGCGTTGAACTCACTGTTCCTCGGTACCAACACAGGGGGCAGCACTGAAGAGGGAGAAAGACATCGAAATTGTTAAAACAGGAAATGCTTTGATGCACCACAAGTTCTTTGACCAAAATGTTTTTTCTGTGTGTAGAGATTCTTTAAATCCATCAGAACGACACTCCACTAATAAGTCAAACCAAACATTTTTTTAACAGTGAGCACTATTACTATGATTTAATAAACTTATCGGCTTTTTTCTCTCCCTTCTGATAAGGGCTGGGTGATACAATGCCATAAACTGTGAGACAATATAATTTGTCAACTGTCAGATTTGGCCGAACTGTTTTTTTTGCCATTGTAGGTAATGTTGTAAATCAAAGAGCTGTTTCAAGGCAATATACAAGTTTCATATCATTTATTCTATTTTGTTTCCTACCTTTATCTTTGAGTGTCTTCACGTTATTGTTCTGTGATTTATGTGACCTGGCTGATGGGGTAATTGACCATTGGGTTTAACAAAGAAGACAAAACAAATCTATACAAACTCAAAAAGAACTAAGTTATTTGATTCCAACAGTAAAAAAAAAAATCTTTCTGGCACTCGCCATGTTTCTATATTCTGAGTACAGATGTCTCTGCTTTTTTTTAAATGTCAGCTTCCTGCCTGTTGATCTTAGCCAGCGGTATTTGGTCCAGACTCTCAGGTTTCTGATCTGAAAGGACATTTTGAGGCAGGCCATTCTTGAGGAATTCATCACTTGGGGTCAATAAATATCCTGGCTGATGTGAGGGCTATTCAGGTGCAGTGCATACAAACTACAGAGATACGCCCCACTTGTGTCTATAAATACCTGCGCAGATAAATAAAGCTGGTGCTGAAATTTTAACTGGGGGCCCACACTGCTGTCAGTGTTGCTGCAGGTAGCCCAGGTAGCCCATGTGTGCTGCAGCAGGCCAATGCATCAATGTTCAAAGCTTATATGTGGAGCAGGTGTTTGGTTGAATAGTGCAGGGAGATTGACAGGATGTGTGTGTGTCGGCGGGGGGTGTTAGGGGAGAAGGGGAGGGGGTAATGTGGACGGACAGGTGCTGTGGGGTTTAATCACCTTAACCCTCCGTCTTCCACCCGCTGCTAAAACAAAAAGTGTGCAAGGCAGGCAACAACTCTTTCCTCCCATTGTGTGTGGGTGACCGGCTTCCTGTTCCAGCCATCCTCGGAGAAACTGTGCGTGCAGTCGTGTGTGTGTGTGTGTATCCTGGTTTTTGTAACATGTGTGTGTGTGTGACTGTGTGTCTACATGTGTGCATAAACGTAAAAAATAAAAAGGCCAGCAGCACAGACCATGCCCAAAACAAAGCCCTCATTCTCCCCTAGATGGAATTTCCTGCCCCACACGCACACATGAAAGAACACACACACACACACACACACACACACACACACACACTGTTGGCCCTTTACACACTTAGCACTCTGCACACAGCTGTTTCTATCTTGTCAGCTGACCCTCATTTTCTATTTAGTAAGGGGCCAAGTAGTGTTTGATTTGTCTTTTTTCTGCTCTACCTTTGCAGTGAAGGCGCTGGAATCTTTTTTATATCTCTTCTGGCATTGTTAGATAAACATAGTTTTGTTGGAAAGCCTATTCTGATTTTAGTTAGTTTTTTAAAAATGAGTCTTTTATATCATATTATTGGAGTTGGTTTTGTCAATTTCATTATGAACATTTTATATATTTGTAATTTGATGATTTTAATTTGCTGACTTGTGTGAAGTAACTTGGGTTTAAAGGTCCCGTGTTGCAGAAAGTGAGATTTCCAAGTCTTTTTGATTGATAAAGCAGGTCTAGGTGCTCAATAAAAACGGTGAAATTATCAAACAAATCAATCCACACAAAAATGCACACAGCCCGTATTCAGAAACTGTGCTTTTAAACGAGCCGTCAGGACTTCCAAAAGGTGATGTCATTTTGAAAAGATAAAGACTTTCATAAAACAGATACTGTAAGAGATTCAGATGGGGGGAAAGAGTTAAATAAATGACCTGCGTATGACATTCAAGAAAATTCAAGAACTTCAGGCTCAAAAAGTTCCTGAAATATTTCTTCAAGGTTTTCCTTCTATTAGGAAAAACATCAAAATGGGGATGTTGCGATCACAGTAAATTGTATGTGTCTGAACCACTAGGACACCAGGATGTCAAATGTTAGTCAAATCCAGAAATTCTTTCTATGGATTATGACTCAGTCTTATGTAAGGTAACACAAAGAATGCCATGACTAAATGTATATAAGTGATTATGGTTTAATAATATCACTGACGATGTGGCTGATGCACTTAATAAGGTCAGTGTTGGCCCTGATAGGATCGGTATATCCCTAATTATTTCAGGACCGTATCACTCACCTGGACTGTCCACTCGTTTGTAGTGGTAGGGGTTGATACACACATCCTTCTGTTTGGAGCCAAAGGGGTACTCGCAGCACTCCAGGGCCTTCAGCTCATGGTGGGACTGCAGGTCGGGCCAGCGCCACACCCGGCAATAAATGACATGCGGCAGACCTTTCCTATGGGACACCTGCAGCCGTCCATCCAGGGAGCGGGGGATTGTCACACAGTTACTGAGCTGACCCGGGCAGCTGAGAGCCTTCTCCAGCTCCTCCATGGCCCCCTTCTTCTTTTTCAGTTTCTTAACCAGAGCATCCACGGCCTTCTCCGCCCATTTCTCTTCCTCGTCTCCCTGCTTCCAACCCAGCAGCCGTTTGACCGCCGGGCTGGTGAAGGAGAAGAGCGAGGTGACGTTCATGTTGGACAAAACCGCCCTCCTCCCCTCTCCTTTCCGTCCAAAAGACGTGTGAGAGCAGCGGTGGACAGTCTAGTCTTACAAAAGAAAGGGTGAAAAGAGCGTCTGTCCTTTTGGAGTTTCAGATCATCCTCAGCTTCAGCGACGTAAGATCAGATCCTCTTGACAGTCACTTGGCTAGAAGAAAAGGAGAGTTAGGTTAGCATCTACGAGTAACAATTTCTACCAAAAGAGATTTCAAACACACTTCTGCAGATCAGTCCTGCTTGCTGGGTCCTTTCTCTGACAAAGTTGTTTAGCAACTATGGTGCACATGAACCTCTCCTCCCTTTTTGCCTCACAAGCAGCACTAACATCTCACCATAAAATAGCTATTACAACCCTTGATGAGGCGATGATGTCACCATTATAGACGTTATGGCCACGTCTGTCACGGCTTCTGGGAAGCTGGCAGAGGAGTCACGATGGACTCCCTCCTGTGACCGTCCGCCCCAACCAGGCATTCTCCAGATAGCTTCCTGTCCGTATGGCTTGTCACATTACCACCACTCACTAATGCCATTTACAGTAAAGGACTTCGCATACAGTATGTGGCCTACACAACCTGTTGGAATTTGTCCTGCAGGTTTAACGCCTGATTCACTTTGCAGACATGTATATTCTGCCATTATCTTTTTCATGCTGTAAGCTGAGTAGCAGATCAAATTCATTGGCCAATAAATCAGTAAGTACTGAAAAATACAATTATTCCATTTTCAATAAAATGACTGTTTAAATGGAATTACATCGCTTGGCAGCCGCTTGGGTCCATGTTTACTTCATGTCAGCTTATATCATGCACATACACTGCAACGGGAAATTAATTGGGACACATTTGGACTTCGAACTGATCTATAATATGTAAGGAAATGTCCCTCACAATTTTCCAGGGCCAGATTTACAGCGATTTAGCGTAAAACAGATAAAGGCAGCAAATCCTCCCATTTGAGAAGCTAGATTGATTTAGAGAGATTTAAAAGACTCCGAAATCATAATAGCAATCAATTCATTTTATTGTAATAGTCTAATCAGTTAATTGTGTCAACACTAATGTGAACACCTAATTTAGAAGAGTTTGTGTAAGGTGAGCTTGAAAATGTAAAACAAAATCCCAATCTTCAAGACCTTAAACTGATGTCTTCAAATTGCAGAATAATTGAGAAGCTCAACCCAGGTACATCTTTTGCTTGGAAATTCACTGAAACAATGAATCAGTTGTGAAAGTTGCTAAAAATTGTTGAAACTAATTGATTAATAAACTAGTTTCCGCTTTTAATAAATCACAAATATAGCATTATTGCAATATATAACTCAATACACAGTGATGGAGGAATGTATCCATATTGCCGTAATTTTACTTGATATGACTGTAAGTCAAAAAAATAAAAATACTCTATGTTGCTCTCTCACAAACACGTGAGAAAAAGTGTTTGCCAGACAACTCTGCATATATGTGGCAATTGAAATGGTCTTTCAGATGGAGACTTTCAAAGAGCCGCCTGCTGAGGCAAATGTTCTATAAAGCTTCAACACCACCAACTAAAAACACTGGGGTTTGAGCAGGAATCTGGCAATGTGCAGGACAATAAAAAGGAAGTGCATCTGGACCCCAGAATAAATGTGCCCATTCACTTGGGCCCCACTGGGACAATTCAGCAGCCAGGACGTACACACATTCTAGCTTTTAAAGGGGAAAACAAAAGCCAATCGAGCTCTTCCAGTTCCACCTTCTTTTCAAGTTTGTCTGAATGCAATTAGGAAAGATAAAAAATGAGTTATGGTTAAGGTTTGGCTTTGCACAACTGTTCGGATGCAATCCTAGAATCAAATGAACAGCTTTTCAGAAATGCACCACCTTTCATCCACACTGACTCATGGGTTGCTCTCTGACAGTAACGCCTGCAGTATATTGGATTTCCTACTAGCTGGAACAAATACATCATTAAGACTGCTCTGTAGTTATTCTTGGCCCTTCAGATTATGGGATGAATAGTGATTTCTATCTTTGTCAGCTACTGCATGTGTAAGCTACATCATACTGACAAACAGGCAGGGAAGTGTGATGAGAACAGGTGCTGTTTACAACGTGTGTGTGTGTGTGTGTGTAGTGTGTGTTGTGGGGTCCCTGGACTCTTACTATTGCTAACCACAGTGACAGGAAGGCAGCAAGTTGCACCTATACTTAGCTTAATCGCCCGAATCACATTGGCTTATCAAAAGTGATGCTGAACTACTGACATACGAGGGAGTGGACGTTGGGCTTGTGTATGTGTGTGTGTGTGAGGAGGGAAAGAGAGAACATATCTCAACACTGATATCAGTTCAGTGCCCCACTATGATATCACAAACTACTAGCATCCTAAGAGAACAACTCTCCAATGTCACAGAGACAGGAAACAGGCTGTGTAGTTATGTCTTCATAGCTGTCATCGCCGGCACAGCAGCAACATCACTTCCTCTTGCTGGGAGCTGCAGGTTTTTCCACAGGTGCAGGGTGGGAGAGAAAAAGGCGGTTTCCTAAACTGGCCACCTTCGACCATTAACTTCCTTTCTCACTCTCTCTCTCACCAGTTTCCTGTTAAAAGCGGAGGATGGGTCAGAAAGGTCATGGGTGTGGCCTCTGTGGTCCTGCCTGTTATTGGGTGGTTGTAAAACACTTTTCAATCCCCTTTAAATTATTCGTTACTTTTGCTGCTTACTGTTCCTCCCTACAGTAGACTTGTGTGAATCAAAGCTCCGCTAATTCGGTGATAGACACATTTTCATCACAATAAAAGTCCCCTGTTATTTTGTTATTTAAAAGCTTTGATTTTGAAGCACTAAAATCATGAAATGTGGGGTTTTCATCAACAGTAACTTTACACGACAGCAGGCTTCAGCTGTGCTCCAGCCCCGGTTTTCCTGTGTGATGCGAGACCTACGTTTGACAAATTTTGTCGCATTGACAAGACAAGTGTTACCACGACCTGACTTATCCTCACACAAAGCAAAAAGACATACTTGAGCGCAACAATATAGCATGAAGTTGAATAAGTGATAACTGCAATATGATCTTGTACCACCAGTCAGACATATAAGGAGTCTTTTTGATCCACTTCCAGTCACACAGCTGCTTTGATGGCTTCACGGTAACAGCCAGAGCTATCAGTGCAGAAAGACAACCTTTAATACATTTCAGATGTAAGATGACAGAAAGTTCTGTACTGTAACATCTGGAGCAGGCTTCACAACCCTCTGTTGTCATTCTGCTGCAGCTGGACAACATTTCGCTTGGATATTTTCGATCCTGACAGTTAGAAATATCTGACCGCATGCTTATTTAAATGGTCTGATCAGGCCGTAACCTCCAGTTCTGCCGAGTGAAGCCAAAGCGGACGTGTCTTAAAAGCATTCTCTCTACTGACCAGCAGGGGGCGACTCCTTCGGCTGCAAAAAGAAGTCTGATTGTATGGAAGTCTATGAGAAAATGACTCTACTTCTCACTTGATTTATTACCTCAGTAAACATTGTAAACATGAGTTTATAGTCTCAATTGCTAGTTTCAAGTCTTCTTCAACACAGCATGATGTTCATTTAGTAAATTATTAGAGTCAAATAGACCATAAAGCAGGGTATGCTGTAGGGCGGGCTTACTGTGATTGACAGGTCGCTGCCGCTACCAGAGCCGTACACACCGTCTCTACGTCACTCCTCTGCCTTCAATCAATCAGGAAATTGTCATTTATGCTTTTCTAGTCGCCAATCTCTGATAACGTTACATTGTAAATTTGTGTTTTCATGAAGAAAAAGAAAACAATATAGATGACTGTAACAAAGTAAAAGGATAACATCTAGAATTGTTGAAAGATTGTTCAGAGCAGTTGAAATGATTTTTGGGATGGTGGCAAAAAAAAAATAGTCTGGAGCCTTGTAGACCAGCTGCTACAATCGAACAACAGAGGGATCTGTTTCTGCCAATATCGATCATCAACGATCGGCAATTAGTATCAGACGCAAAAGACAGGGTCAGGGATCTCTAAAAGTTACATTTGCTCCCTTTATTCTTTTGTGCTGATTTGATCTGTGATCCGATCACCATTCCGTTGCACCACTAATAGACTAGGATGTCTGCATGACAAAAACAGGCTTTTTGTGCACCAATTTTGGCTCATACCTTGCGGTGATAACAGCACTAACAGTGCAAACTCTGATGAAAGTGCTGACAGAGCTAACAGTGTTTACCTGAAGGGGAACCAGAGGGTGTGTGCTACGCTACGATGACGCGGTTGGTCGGGACGGCATAATCAGCTGTAATCGCCACATGAGAGCAGGACAGAGCAGCGAAAGGGAGCTAACCAGTGAGACACACTCGCATGCACTAACCTGCACTAAAAGCACGTGCGACCGGCCAAGTTATGTCAACAAAGCGAGGAGGATAACAACATTGTAAACATGAGTTTTTGGCAAGGGTATTCAACTAAAATTCAACGAGGTCCAGTTAGAGAGAATTCCCTCATCCAAAGGTCCGGAACATCACAAAAATGTCTAACTTGCGCTTTGATTTAGTCCCGTATATATTGAAGTAACCTAGTAGTTGTATCGTCTGTATTTAGTCAACAACTGACTGTCGAATCAAATAAAGAAAGTTCAATTGAATAACATCTTAACAATATTTATTGTCTGTTTTCTCTCGCCCCGTCTCTCCTGTGTGTGTGTGTGTATCTCACTAGTGTGCATCTTAGATGCTTATGGGAATACACATATTTGATTGGCTGAGCAGAATCACGTGAGATGGTTTACAACGTATGCAATTGGTCTGAGTGTTTCCTGGACCGCTGAACAAGTGCCGTAAAGTCTAGAAAAGCTGCACCGGTGTAAATAAAAGCCCTCCTTCAAAATTAAATAATTCTCAATTATCCATTGGTTATAGGTCCGGATACAACGGCGTCTGGGTCCGGACCCGGACCGCGGTCCGCCTATTAGTGACCCATAGTTTATGGTCTCAATTGGTAGTTTCTTCAATCAAGTAATTTAATTATTCTTCAATATAGCATGATGGTCCCAAAGACGATAAAGCAGGGTGTGCTTTAGGGTGTGGCTACCTTGTGATTGGCAGGTTACTACCACAGCATTGTCGGTGTGAGAGTTATCTGTATTAAAAAATGTCTTTTCAGCTTTCAGTTGTCACTGGCAAAAAAGCCAAGATGGCAACGGCCAAAAACCAAGATGGCGACAACCAAAATGACGTCCTCTGGGCTTCAAAACGTCAGTCCACAAACCAATGGGTGATGATGTCCATTTCTTATCTACAATCTATGGCACTGGCACAGTGTCCCGCTTACAAAGCTCTGATTGGTTTGGTTGTTTTCCAGTTGAAAATGACAAAAACACTGGACCTGAAATTGTGAAAAGTGGTCAGCTATTTAGATTCCTACTAACAATTGTCTTTAGGTCTTCAACTATGGATTATTTTTAACTGTCAGTTAACCTTTTCCTGACATCCAGACACAAAGCTGTAAATTGTTTGTTTTGTCCAACACATTTACAAAACAGAGAAAAGCAGCAATGTTTGGGTGATTGACAACTTACAGGATTAACTGATGATCATTCAATGTAGCTTAATTTTCTGTAGATTGATTTACCAACATCTATTCCGTCAAATATCTATATGTAGTCATCAACCTTTGAGCCTCGTCGCTCATGTCTCACGCAGCCAATGAAGAGTCACAAAGATGCCTGCAGTGGCCTCGGACGCTGCTCTGCTCCCTATAAAAGCTGAAACACAAACCATCATTTACACAACAGCTCCATAAAAACCACTCTGACATTCCCTACAGCTGAGGCCGGGTAGTGCTCTCTCGCTATTGTGTTAGCGGTAGCTCGTTATGGCCATCAGTTAGCCTATCGGACAGAAACTGAGGCTAATGGGAGCACAGAATGGGATCATGCGACACTGGCAGGCGGAGGCTTTGACCCACCTGGTGTGAGCTGTTAGCCACTACACTAGCCCCATGGATCATTTTGCACCACTCCAGTGTCTGTTAATCAATTTAGGCCTGGGCTGTGTAGGATGAGGAGGCAGTAATGATGCTCTCTGGACCCTCCCTTGGGACGGAGCATTATAAAGAAGCTACATTATTTATCAGCAGGGTCCTGGATGGGGCCTCCATTAGCCCCCGCTCAAATGGAGTCACTGGCTATAAACAGAGGAGTACAGGAAGAGAGAGAGTGGTAGATAAAGAGAGAGAGAGGGAGAGGGGGGTGAATGATACAGAAAGAAAAAGAGAGGAATAAAGTGAGAGTGGCGGCAAAGTGAGACAGAGTGATTATTTTGGAGAGAGACGTGGAAAAGACTCGTATATCTGGTCTCTTCGCCGAGCACTTCTCGATTAAGTGCCTTCAAGGGTTGTTACTGAGCAAAGAGTGACACTACAAGGATGCAAGAAAGGCTTTTTCACAAATATGAATAACAGCAATGACTATGAAAGCATCTCCAGAGTAGCAGCTGTCGCAAAGTTCAATATCACTTGAGGCCACACTGAAGAAAAAACAGACTTATGAGCCATTTCACTGTTTTGCAGCTTTGTAAATTGAATATATTTGGGTCCTGTACTGTTAGTCAAACAGAATAAGCATTTTGAAGACGTCACTTTGGGCTCTGGAACTTTTCTCTATTATTTTGTATTTTATGAAATAAGTGATTCACCCAACATATTGTCATCAGATTAATCTACAGTGAAAATAGTCTTTCGTTGCAGTCCTAATGAACAAAACCCTTTTATTCATTAAAGAAGTTTAAACTTCTCAAATGCCTAAATAAAATTGCCAAAATGTAAGTAAATCAGGAAGTATCTGATGAAAGAAATTAACACACATTTCAAATCATTTTTGAATAAAATGCCTTAAATTTTGTTGTACTGTAACTGTAACCAAAATACGCACTGAGTGGGACATTTGATGGTTGAAAAATAAATCAGTCAGTGCTCTCTGGTGAATATGAATTGCAATGGCAACGTATCTGAATGCAAATTCTTGCTAATATATAAGGTAATATACAGCATTTGCAATAACCTAATATTACCGGGAATATCAGCCCATCCTGAGCACGACTATTACTAAGCTATGTCGAATAGCCAGCCCTAGCAGGTAGCAATATGCAGATATTTACCATAGCCACTCGTGTCTTATGAAACAGTGGAAGAGCAAAGCTTCAAATAACCAGTCAGACGTGAGGTGCTGTCCTTAGCGACTAGACATGGCATTGACCTGGGAGGTCCTCAAACTCACTGCTGGGGTCACTTGTCTTCACAAACACCAACACGTACACAGCTTGGGCCTATAATAAAGATTACGCTGGTGCACAAGTGAGAGAAATCCAACTAGTCACTCTTCTTCCAAGCATGACATGGAAAACATTCTTCACTCAGATTCTTTTTGTCCCAGACACACCAGTCCCAAACACACACACACACACACACACACACACACAGGACTGCAGACATAACTAGCAAACACATGGGGTTTCATGCAGCTATCTCAACCATGCTTGGCACTCAGTGTTGTGTTAGGGTGGACACCTCACCCCGACACATGGCAGGCTGTGTTGTCCGGGGCCGTGCAGACACACAGGAGGGTTTTGACGTTGTTCACTACTGTTGTGACTGACTCTCTGGATACAGGAATGCTGCTAACCTATATTTACACCTTGTTGTTGAGTAGTTTCTGGTCTTTGCTACAGTAGATAGATAGATAGATAGATAGATAGATAGATAGATAGATAGATAGATAGATAGATAGATAGATAGGGGTAATGTTTGACTTTGGTATACATAGGCAAATATAACATTTTGTAATGAAGCTAATAAAATCATCTTACAATCACATCTTCATTGCTATTTACTGAAGAGGCTTCACCCCTAACCCTGTCATTTCAATGATATAAAAACACCATTTGTTGAATTTTCAAACTGAATTTAAAGACGCATGCCCTGAGAATGCAGTAATGATAAAAAAAAAAACATGGACAAGGACAAATTCCTGTCCTTTGGGTAATCTGATATGTCATCTTCAATAATGTCAGGAGATCCAGCCTGAGCTGCTGTAGGTCTCACTCTCTCACTCTCCCTCCTTTCTCTCTCCCTCTCTCTCACATACACATGTACACAAATTCACAAACATATTGACAACTAAAACCAGGAACGTCCTGTGCAGCGCACCAGTGCACCAGTTGGATATGGCCTCAGCATCAGCCAAAAGACAGCAGAATGATGAAGACTTAAAGATGTAAAGGTATGGCATGTGTGGCGAATTAAACTGCATGTGGACTTCCTTATTCATCACACTGGTTCAGTGACATCAAAGTGGGATCACTTTATGATGGAAAAGGACCACATATCAAATCACAAGCTTACCACCATACGACTAGCTGGAAGGATACGTGCTCAGTCATTTAACACATTTGTCAAAGAATGCAAAATATTCCCAGAAAATGTGAGGATTTGCTGCTTATCTTGGTTTCATATCATTTTAATTTAAAATATTTGGGTTGGCAATTTGAAGCAATTTCATGGGGCTTTCTGAAATTGTGACGGGCATTTTTCCCAGTTTTCTGACATTTCATTGACCATGTAATTCATTAAGTATGACACATCCAGTAGCTTCATGAACCCACTAGCCCCCTACCATGTGTTCAATTCCTGCAGTTTCATCTTTATTCCCTCCTGGATGATCACCGTGTGCAGCTATATGCCAACACATTTACTAGGGCTTCTACTGATACCAGCTTTAAAGAGGATTAACCCCAAATTTAGAGTGTTTTAGTGTCCAAACTGAACATTCCTGTAAAAATTTTGTCCCTGCAATATACAGTAAGCTAGCCTACATTATTACAATATTAGAGTTCTGTATCTAACCACTGATGTTTTTAACAATGAACAATCATGAAAATGTGGCTAAATGTGCAGCTTTGCAGTCTGATAGTGTGAGTTAAGGGAAGGACAAAAAAAAAAAAAGTTTGAAGCTGCCAACTGACACACTGTTGCGTTGATAACCATTGGGGTCTATTTCCCAGCAAACAGAACCGCGCACACCATAGCGGGTGAAAATACGCATACGGGAATTATTCATTTAGCATGTTGAAAAATAAAACAAAAAGTTTACAGTACCTTTTCTTCCTTTGCTGCTCTCTCGGTCTCTCTCTTTCTCTCTCCCTGTGTCTCCTCCTGCGTGCGCTCTCAGCCCGTCTTGGGTCTGCTCGACCCTGGCGTCAGTCAGTCGCGGAGCCCTCTCACCCTCCGCTGAGCGCCAGTATCACGCCGCGGGAGCATGCAGCCCCCGACAATAACAAGACCTACTTTTCACACATCTAACATCTTCATTCACTGTGTGGAAACGTATTATGTAACTATGAAACAATGGAGTTTTCTCTCGGTACACACACACTTCTCGCCACTGGAGAGTTTCTTTTTTTGCAGATGTCTGAGTTTGTTGTCGCAAAGGTGGTGAAATGTTGCCCGTCTGATGCAGTTCAGAGAGAAAGAAAGCAGAATGAGGGGGCTCTGCACTTCAGAGGCTCCCAGAACAACCCTGCAAAATATAGGATAGTTGCTTGATTTTGCTCTTTTCTGCATAAATTACCAGCAATTGCACAATAAGGACGACTGACCCATGCAGCAGCATTATCGTTCATTATTTCTGTTTTTACTAAAAAGTCCTTCTTCACCAAACGTGGCCAGCAATCTCTTGTAGCAGTTTTAACTCTCTGGTTCATCTACAGTGAACTCCTGAACTGCACCTTGTTAAGCCTGCCTCTCAGCTCCTCTCTTGCTTTATGATAAGCACTATTTATGTTGTCAGGAGATCAAAAGTGTCCAAAAGCACAGGAGCATGCTTACACATCATCTCAACTTCTCACCTCAAGACAATCATGCCCAGTCTTGATGCAGGCAAATTTACACGGGTGTCAAGAGTGAAATGTCAAGAGTGAAACTTCCAACTGTTGTTACCATCTCATTAATATTGCATGATAATGCATGAAAATAGCCTTCAGGCCAGGGAGCAGCAGTAGAGGACATGAAATGTCATTTACGCATGTGAGCTAAATTAGTCCATATAGGCTACATATGTGCATCAGAAATAATCACACTTGGGACATTCAGAATAACTTTTGATGACGTAATATTTGATCTTATCAAGGCAGAGCTGAAGAGGTGAAATTCCGGTAACAAATTATTTTATAGACAAAAAGAAAAATGCACACCTTCACATAACAGAAAGTTCAAAAAGTACAATATGGTATCTAAGAAAATACTTACTAGCATACACTACATTTGATTGAAAAGTATAAGACAATTACAGTAGACTATTAATTCGCCCGGGCATATGTTAATTTGTTAAAAACGTAGGGTCAAATAGATTTGATTTAATTTCTTTTGCGGGTTTCATTAATCAAGTTCAGGGTCGCCGATGTGAGGAGGGACTAGATTATCTTGAAGACAGGCGGAGGGAAACGTTCAAAGCGGAGGAGGCTTCTGGCGTAGGTGACGTCACGGCGCTGGCGACAGAATGTCTGAGTGAGGCGGGAGCGAGCTGCACGTGAATAAATCTGGGAAAACAGTGCGAGGAGGGGGAGGGAGGGGAGGGGCAGGGACGACGACGATGATGATTATGAGTCGCAATAGAAAGAAGGCCTCCCAAACTACTCATTTTTAGTCGAAGACACCACAGACATTTGCATGCCTAATGCTTAAGGAAGAGGTTACCGAGTTTATACAGACTATCAGGCTTTATGACATTTTATCTCATCATAACTGTGCAATCGACTTTTGATATTCCCATAAAGATTTACTTTGATATTTGTATAGCGCCCATCTTTGTTTAAACTCTGAATGAACCCCAATATTTTCTAGCGGTGGAGAAAAGTGACAAAGTAGCCTAAGTGCACTTTAGAGGTACATTTCATGGGATATTTCCATTTTATGCTAATTTATACTTCCACTTCAGTAGGCTACATATAAGAGGGAACTATTGCACTTTGTACACCACTACGTTTATCTGACAGCACAGCTGTTGTTATGTTATAGATAATTTTACATACATAACATATAATCATAATCATCATCGACAACATTATGTAAAAGTAGCAACAGTGTAAAAATACTCGATTATAAGTGAAATTAATATTGTAATGGACAACTTTTACATTGCAGTAATGCTAATTCTACTTCAAGACAGTTATTAACAACTCAGGGTCACCAAAACATTTTATGTTTTTTATTTTTTATTTCTTTTAACAGTTTATATAATTAATTATCTGTTTGATTATGTTGTATATCAATTTGATCTATTTTCAAAGCCTACACACTGCCACAAATAAAAATGTTTTTGGGGAAATGTATATTTTATCTATTTAGTGGAATCACCCCATAGCATATCCACCAGTTATAGTTTTTAAACATAATTTAGGAATCATCGCAAGAGGCACAAATAAAATCTCACAGATGCCTAAAAGACGTGTTGGCTATTTTAATTACTTGGCTCAAGAGTGTCAGTAATTTCTCGTTATGCAGCATGAAGCAACCACAATGCAAATATTTGCATTTTTAAAGTTACTAACATGAAGCAAATTATATTCTACATCACACAAATTATCTCATACAGTTGCTGGAATCCAGATTACGTGAGCACTAAAAAAGAAAAATCAAATGTACTTTACTTATGTACTTGTTTTTGTTGTATCAGTGGCAAGGACGCTACCCAAACAATCACAAACAGAAACCTTCTCCCTCGTAGCAGTAGTGACAGCTGACACCGTAATGAGTTTATATCCCATTTATTATTCACACTGAAGGCTGAATATTGCTACAGGAAAACAAAAGCTGTGTTTCATACATATAATGAACAAGGAGAGAGTGCTGTTATTTCCTATCCTTGCACTGTAAGCGGTAAGCACTGAATGTGGAGACAATTGAGATGACAGTCCCCATTGTTGAGCCATCACACAGCAGGACATCCACCACTGATGGAGAAGAGAAAAGGCCAACTGATGGGGTCAGCTCCTTTCCATCTCAAGTTGTGGTGCATGTCAGCCTTAGGTAACCTATAGCTGAAAGAAACACCATAAGCAGAATCTAAACCATGGCGCAAGACATGGGGAGATATAATAACTCTCAGGCAGACAACAAACACGTTGCAAGAATGTGACAGGCTGTCTTCAAACGATCCAAACTGAGTGGCGACATGAAGCACTGCCCACCTCATGTATGGCAAACCACTGGCTTCGCTGGCCAACATCCACATCTGGCAATGTCCATGGGCCGTTCAAACATGGCAAAAGATCCTATTTAATAACAAAAAAAACTGCAGTGGATTTTGGGAGCTAACATTGACTCAATTGGGATTTGTCAATCATTAAATTGTGAAGATAATTATGTCAAATCCAAACCTCAGTGGACTTGTGGTTGTTTTCTCACCTGGAGTTCGCTTCATTTGTTGTGGACCAAGAAAAAAAATAATTGCCTCTAAATTCTGTAGTCACTGGTCGGACCGGCTTTCTACAAACAAAACAGGAGCTGTAAACATGTCTGTCCAATAAATGAGTCAGTTCATGCAAAATAATATTTACAGCTCTTCATTTGTTTGTATGTGAACAAGAACCGGACCAGTAATAAAAATTCCTCAAAGTGTAATTTTTTCCTGTTTCGATTCAGAAGAAATGATCCAAACAAGACTATAAACCACCAATCCGGTCAATTTGGGGTTAAACTCTACTCAGCTAGCTCATAATAAATTTAACATGGCTATCTCTGTGGTTTATAACAACAGATGTGTGGACCACTAATCAGCTTCTAATGCCCCATCATCTGCCTTTTGAATGATTATCCTGATGCAAAAACTGTTTTCCTTTTGTTTTATTTATAAAGCTCAAAATCACATTTGCCTCAGAGGGTAATACCATCTGTACAACGTACGGCATCCCGTATCCTCAGACCTTTGATTCAGATGGAGAAACTCCACACACACAAAATAGGACAACTTTAACAGGAAAAAAGGGGCAAAACCTCAGGAAACCTCCAGCTGTCGTACATTCAAAGATGACACAGTAGCGGAAGTAAGAATAAATTTGAAGAGATGAAATAATAATGATAAGGTACAAAGATAAATATTAAAGGAACATATTTTTTCTCTTAACTTTAGTGCTATTTAGGGATGCACCGCAAACCATTTTTTTCAGACCAAGTAAAAGTACTTACATTACAGTTCTTACTATAACTTTTCATCAGATGTTCCTCACTTTCTGACTGAAACTGACTTAAATACTGTACACACAACATGATGATGTTGCTGACATTCAACATTCAACATTGTGTTTTCCTGATACAAACAGATTTTACAGTGGGGATGTTAATTATTAACCGGGCTGTCAGTTAGAAGAAATATTCAAAATTAAAAAATAAAAAACTCAGAGGTGCAGCTGGTCATCTTAAAGGAGAATAGTGTTGGTGTGGTGTGTGTTGGAGATGTTATTAAGTTTGAGGATGACCCCCCTTCACTTTAATCCTCACTGGTGGACAAGCAAGACACAAGGAACTCTGCTGGAGTCTCCTCACGGCTCTTGAGGAGTTGTAGCATTTATGCACCAAAAAACTGCATACACACACTGTTCCTTTAAAAATGTCATCATCTAAAGTGTGTTGAGTGTACATTTCTTTGGGTGCACATTTGTAAGCACACACTGCACAGCAGCAAAGAGTCATACCTAACACATTTCATATATTTTTGATTTTGGTTGACAGCTCTGGAAAGCAAAGTGCGCCTTTGATCTTTGATTATTTTGTTACACATACTGTTCCCAAAGCTCAGGAACAACACTTCATGCTCAAATTTATTTTCCCGTCCTGCCACCACAATATTTCTTTGGCAGTTAATCCTGTTCTACTGTCCAGTCGCAATCATACAGGAGGACAGGGAGAGCAGATATCTTCATCTAAAAGAAGAGCCCCGGCTCTTGCAATAATCAAATGCTTCTCTGCTCCCTTAAACCAAAACAGGACAAGAAATGCAAGGCTGTAAAACTTGCAGACAGGACATTAACATTTGAAGCACTTAGTAGTTGGCTGTATTAGGTCAGGGTTCATGAAAAGCGGGAGCCATTTAGAAACTTTGGTGCGCTGCCTGTCTCTGACCAGACGGAGGAAGAGTGGACTCACGGGTTAGGATTGATTACAACATTAACTCCATAGACCCCCAT